CAACCCGAGCAACAATGACACCCAGAGGCTCTGGGCAACAATAGAGTATCATGTTCCAACTGCCATTCTCAAGAATGTCAATGCTGTCAGCATGACCTTTGCTCAGGACAAAGGCCGTGTTGCTGCAATTGCTCTGTCACTGAGGAAAGTCCAAGGAACCTCCAGTCGGATGCCTTGATATCTGAAATCAAACCAGACCTCAAATGAACAAGTTTCAATAAAAGATATACTAGTATTCTAAGGGAAGTTGTCCTTGAATTAAACACATGCTGGAACAAAACGCGCTGCATGTTTATTAATTTCGGTTATGCGGAACTGTTCATGTAGCAATACTTGATTAAACTTGTTTTAAGCCAGTTTCGGGAAAGCATGTACAGTTAGGATGGAAATGATGTATGCAAAACAACAAACGTTTTTGCATTGATGTGCCTTGACAAGTTACCTACTCAACTCTGAATTCCTCAGGTCAAGGTAAGAACGGGAGGTCCAATAACTATATATAGAGGAGAATACGAAACCACGAAAGTGGATAAGATACATTACAAGGCTTATATAAGCTCATGGGAACCCGTTTAGAAGCAGTCCCCAGCAACTTGTGGTTGTTGTAAGAGGCGATTCAATGGTAGTCAGGCTTGTGATTGGGTGTCATCGTACACCTACGGCTTTTGGCTTAGTTCCTGTTTTTGTATGGTCCTGACTCGATCACTTACATGCCGCCGTCATTAATATTGCCGAGCGTAGCTTTAAACAAACAAACCAATGAATGACAAAATGTAGAGCCGATGCAAAATGCATTTACGCATCTAAGTGAAAACGAATTACAACTTCCCAGCTAACGATGTAAAGGGTAATCCCCATCCTGTCTACTTCTGTAATGGTCACTTTGAAGACCCGGGTTCGATTCCCCACATAGATATAATGTGTGAAGTGATATTGCTGGAATATTGCTAAAAACGGTGTAAAACCATACTCACTGATTCACCCCTACCTACTTTTATGATCAGTCATGCTGACACGAACTGTCCTGAAGTAGCTCACAATTGTGAATCAGTTTGAGAGTGAGTGAGTATGGTTTTATGCCGCTTTTAGCAATATTCGAGCATTATCACTGCGGGGGACACCAGAAATGGGCTTCACACATTGTACCCATGTCGGGAATCGAACCCGGGTCTTCGGCGTGACGAGCGAACGCTTTAACAATTAGGCTAATCGACCGCCCCGAATCAGTTTGAGTAATAGGGACACGGATGCTCTTTCGGTGTCATACAGGACACCAATTACCCTGCCACAATATTTCCGTGCCACAAGGGCACTATATGCACTGTCAAAGTGTATCAGTGTCACATATGACATTATTATTACACTGACACAGTGTCACAGTGTCACAAAGGTTACTGATTACACAGACACACTAACACGCTAAGAAGTAGTTACAGTGATACAGTGTCTCAGTGTCACACACAGTGCACTAAGTCCACCGAGGCAGTTTCTCAGTGTCACAAATTGCACCAATTACAAATCCAAATACATAACCAGACAGTATATTTTTGCAGACATCCAAATGACTAGTATTCTCTGTTAATGAAAATGGAAAAAAATGACTACTGTGCTGTCATTAAGTATCTCCATCCGAAAAGGCTAATTCTAACAACCAGTCGTAAGGACAGGAGGCACGGACGGCCCAGTCGTCTAAGGCGCCGCGATTCGCTGTGCAGAGTTGCGTCACATGAGCATGCCAGAAACCTATGATTATGGGTTCGAGTCCCGGTTCGCCCCGATTGTGTTTTAGGTTTGTCAGCACCATACCCGTGCTCGTGGGTTTCGCCGAAGTGGTAAACGTCTGAGACCTGCATCACTTCGGGCTTTCCTCCCATATTAAGCTGACACACCGCGATATAACTGGAATACTGTTAAACGTGGCGTTAAACCCAACTTACTCACTCGTGAGGACATAGTGTCAATCTTAGGGGAAGGTCTTCCATCTTTTGCCACTGTTAAAATTTTGCAACGGAGCTCAAGAACGAAAAAGAAAGCCTCGAAAGATCGGGAAGTTCTTCAACTGCCATCACAAAGGAAAATGTTGATAAATTACATACGATTATCGGTGACGACTCCACACACATCACAGATCCAGTATCATAGGCATCTCTCATGAATAACGTGAGAACATTTTAAGGAATGAACAGGGCATGACAGGATTTCAGCACATTGGACTCCAAGGCTTCTGATTCCTGATAAAGAATGCACCATCTTCATCATCTCTCGATAATTTATGTTGGTGTAAAACTGACCCAGCTGTTTAGCTGAGCAATTTGTAACCATGGATGAATCTTGGATTCAGTCAGAGACTAAACAACAGTCAAAGCAGTTGAAACATCTAACATATCCTACTCCGAAGAAAGTAGTGTATGACCCACATGGTGACAAAGTGATGTCTTCGGTTTTCGGATTCCAAAGGAAAGGCTAGACCATTATTGGCCTATACTATGCTAATCCGCTTAGGCATCTACGTGAGAAAATCAAGCCTAAACGTCGTGGAAAACTCTCTGAAGGTATATTGTGTGAAGGACAATGCCAGGTGCACAATTTCATTGTCATTGTGGCAAGCATTATGCAAATGATGATGACGTCATGACACCTTACACCTCCAGAAGGAGGCATTCTACACTCGTGGGATCCAAGCATTTCAGCATTGTTTTCAGAAGAGTATGGACCTCAAAGTGGATTATGTTGAAATATTCACACTATTTCCTGGACGTAGAACATTCTAGGGCCAACTGTATAGTGCTGATTGTGCGACAAGAAATGTTCATCCGTTTCTCAAACATCTGATGTCATCGTTAATAGTGAAACAAGTGAATAGTTTGGTCCACTAGTTGGTCACTCCCACACTGTTTGTTCTTTCACATGACAAAAACGAAAACCAAAAGGTTTTGATGTTTTGATTCCTATCCGTTTAATCTATTGGTCGACATCTACCTTTGGGATAGTCATGTGGGTCATCAGGAGCATGCGCATGCACATTTACCATTGCAGATACAGATCAATCTCCAACTTTTCAATTGCACAACTTTATGTTTCCTGAGATACCGACACGACGACATGATCATTATGCCGGAGTTCTTCCTAGAATCTTTGTAAGCATACAAAAAACATAATCATACAGCTTTAACATTATGTACGTGACTAAATCATTACATGTATATTTTATTTCATGTTACAAATCAGTTGCTAGCAAGGAATAGTGTGGATGACAACCTCCATATTTTCACTCAATACACCCTTGTGGCAGGTGCCACTGGTTGGGCAGGATACGCTCATCTCTTTGAGGACACATCACAGTGTCATCACTTATCAAAGAATTGATTTTCACTTTGTGTAAGTTCATTGAAGTATGTACTTCATAGAGTGAGGGCCAAACTGAATGACACAGATCTTGCGACGACGTTCTTACAATGTTTGGCCCTCACTCTATGAAGGTTCATACTCAAATGAACTCACACAAAGTAAAATTCAGTTCTTAAATTGTTTTATCACAATTTTCTTACCTCAAAGGGTGTAGGCCTTGATCTATACACAATTTTATTTAATACGTGTGACTTCATGTTTACACTCACAGCCTTACAACAACTAGCTGTATCACGGAAAACAAATAGTTCCTCAAAAGGAGGGGTGACATGAGCACAACTTGCTCTTCAGACACATCTGACACAACACCTGTATTTGAATAATATCATCATTAGATGAGAAAGGTATGTTAAGAAATATCTCAGTGAGTCAGTCACAATGACAGCGCGTCGTAATACATTTACATCAAGTACAAGACGTCAATATGGCCGACATGACAGGCGAGATTTCGGAAGTGGTTCGTGAACCTGTGGTGGTTACATGTGTTAGTTATCAATGATCAATTGGCTGATCATTGAAAGGTGATTAAAGATGTGTCAAATAGACACTAAGGTTAATTCATAGATTGCTGTTGACTGTCACTGTGGTCCAGACACGGATCAAGTCGATACTACCAAAGTTCGGATGTGCATTTCTTCGTTTCGTTCACTAATATAGGTCGTAGCGAGGATATTCGTGAGTTCAAGATTAAACAATGCTTCTGTATGTGAGAGAGTGAGTGAGATGGGTTTACGCCGCTTTTAACATTATTCCAGGTATATCACGACGTGTCAGCTTAATGTTGGAGGAAAGCCCGGAGTGATTCAGGTCTCAGACGTTTACCACTTTGGTGAAACCCACGAGCACGGGTATGGTGCTGACAAACCTAAAACATAATCGGGGCGAACTGGGATTCGAACCCACAATCATAGGTTTCTGGCATGCCAAAGTGACGCAACTCTGCACAACGAATCGCGGCGCCTTAGACTACTGGACCGTCCGTGGCCCCGCTTCTGTATTTATTCGTGCTTGGGTATGGCCAGGGGTTCCCCCAGGAATGAGGATGTAATCCGTCATTTCAAGAACATGGCCTCTTGAAAAACGTATGGACGTCAAATTATGTCGTTCATATAACTTATGAAAGTCAATTTCGCGGTCACTTGATCGACCTCTCGTCCAATCCAAACGCCGTATGTCGTGTAAACTTCAAATTAAAAAAATATAAACACGTAAAAACATGCTCATAATATAGTCAGAATTGAACAATGGACAAGATAGTAAACAATAGTAAAGATTTCTTATGATTATGAAAAGTGCTTTATCGCATTATTTCAATACTGGAACCATACTATCAGAAATTGTACAGTAAGTCTCATACTTTCTGATAGGGGTACACTTTCAAGGTGCATCATCGGATAGGTATTTTAACTTCCCAGTGAAATTCCAACCTTTCACCTATAATAATATTTAGATTATGTTATCTTCCTATCGTCTGAGAATTACATTCTTTGAATCATATGGCTTTGACAAGCCCATGGAGCGCTGTCTGGGATTCAATTGTTTTTCTAAATCAAGTTTATGTCTTATCGCGACAACGCAAATGTTTTGAAGCATATAAGGCTAAAGGTAAACCCAGGTGTGACAGAACACCAGCCCCATACAAACAGGACATAACAAGCTACTGACACAAGACGATAGAACTACCAGCTGGATGAACATGTTGCTATCCACTGCGCTTGCCCTCTGTTACCTGTCATGCGTGTTGGGATACACAGTGACCATTTACCCAGAGTATCTAGTACAGGGAGGAAGAACCAACTTCGACCCTGATAGGTGGAATGGTAAAATGGGGCTGGACAATCCCGGGATTTTACCCTACGTGAAGAAAACTGGAGCTCGCACTGGAAGATGGCTCAATTCAGATTTAGGCTATTTTGACAAGGTGCGTGTCTTCAAATATGTCTGTATTTAATCCGAAATAAGAAACAGACTCAGTTAATTATTGTATCGTGAATCTTTCTAGAATGAGCGCAGGCTTACACTAAATTTACCCTTTCATAATCGAGATGTCGTTTTCCCGACCTATTTAAACTGTGTTATAGTTAACGTTCCTCTTAGGTGACAGAGGATCCAAAACGAACTGGGTACCCGAATCCCGCCTTCTTCCAAGACGCCCAGTTCCAACACAATTTGGTTGAGAAATATCTCGACAATTTGAATGGATATGGAAAACACAGACCAATCATGCTTGAACTGAAAGGTAAGCTAAAGGAAACTCACATATCTCAAGGTTGACATTCCTTGTACAAAATGTGTTTGATACTACTTTGCTCACACAACAGGCTTCAACTGTTGACAAAAATGTGTGTAAATCCTGAGATGGTAGGTTTGTTCAACCTTGACTCGTTTACCACCAATTAAAAGAGTTGGATATAGTTTTGCTTTTTTTAATGTGGTGCTAATAGAAGAGAGAAAACCCTTTCCATAACCAGAAGATTGTACGACCTCTTTTACATCAGTGACATAATATACTGTACTTTGGCTATCATCACACTATACATGTTCAGATTTTCAACAGACTTAATCTTACTATAATCTACTATTAAGGATGATCTTTCTATCAAGAGAATGTCACATGACTCTTGCCCAAAAGTTGATTGTACAAGGTTACACCATTCAAGGCCTAAACGATGTCTTTAAAACGTTTCATGGTAGATATGTGGAGGACATACTCAGCAGCAAAAAATATTTTCGATGCTGTTCCCTTTTTTTATTTGTACCATGTATTCCTATGTTTTTCAGTAAATCAACTGTCTTGCCTTTGCGTGTGTTTGTGACGGGTGCCACTGGTGAACATCTGGTATTATCAACATTTGATAGTGAATAAACTCATGACGTTTATAAACATTAAACATATTTCTTCCATAGGTTACCAATGGCCTCACTGGATGGACACATCTGAACATAAAGGCAATTTTCCAAACAATCTTGATGCTGCAGCAGAAACAATTTCTCTGTTCGTCCAGGCAATACACAACGGGACCAATGGCGCCGTCCCTCCCTATTTTGAACCAATCAATGAGCCAAACACTCTGGCGAAATTGGACGTCAATTGGACAACCATAGTGAATGTATTCGAGCTTGTTGCCAAGAAGGTAAAAGCCGTACACCCCAATGTAAGAATAGGCGGACCTGCCTTTACAGCTGGAATAACTACAATGGATAAATGGAACTTCAATAAATGGAGCACGATTACTCAATTCATGAACATGTCTCTTGGCCTACTGGACTTTTTTTCATTCCATCCTTTCAATCACTTTAGTGTTCAGGGTAACAGGCATCACTTTTACGGCCCGAATGAGGCGCGGCTGGTTGGAACAGTGGACATGGTGGAAACGTACGCTAATATGATATCAGGGAAAGATATTCCAGTCATATTCTCAGCTCATGGTCTATCAACAGTCACAGGCATCGATGTTCAGAAACCATCGACCTTTCTGGACTGGGCCTACATCAACCTTCACAACTCAAATATATTCACCTTTCTTGAGCTTCGATACGTGGTGGAGAGAGCCGTGTCCTTCCTTCTCAATTACACAGATAGGAAAGGACAAGAAAGCATCAACTACAGCATCCTGGACAAACATCACAACGAGAGAGACATCGCTCTGGCCTTCCACCTGTGGGAGAACCTCACCAGCACTATGAAGTTTCTCAGATCTGAGAGCCAGTTCCACCAGGCAGAGCGGCAAATACAGAGTCATGTCCTTGTGGAGCCAACTTCCAAAATGCTAACCATTCTGCTACACAACTATGACACAGCACAAGCTAATGTCACATTAGCTTTTGACAAAGGGTGGGAAACCTTGACCCAAGGGACATCAACCTGTTTGTATCTCAACAACAGAAAGGCCACTCAACTGGATAAGGAAGTACCTGTCCATGTCAAAGGAAATCACGTGACTGTCCCTCCAGAAGCCACATGCTTCCTACAGTTTCCCACAGGCTACAGGTTTACTCATGTTCCTTTGGTCTATGAAAGTGTGCATTATGGAGACAACATGCTGGTAACAATTGACAAGAAAACAGCTCACATGAATATCATGCTCGACAGCAGCGATCTTCAACACATCATGGTTGCTAGACTTCGCATTTCAGTAAGTATCCTAGATCATGCTGCCAATTGTATTCCAGCTTCAATGACCATCAACGGAATTACGCTGCATTCGTTCTACATACTCCACAACCCGAGCAACAATGACACCCAGAGACTCTGGGCAACAATAGAGTATCATGTTCCAACTGCCATTCTCAAGACTGCCAATGCTGTCAGCATGACCTTTGCTCAGGACAAAGGCCGTGTTGCTGCAATTGCTCTGTCACTGAGGAAAGTCCAAGGACCCTCCAGTCGGATGCCTTGACATCTTAAATCAGACCTCAATGAAACGATTCAGTTGCATAAAAAGGTATATCCCAGAGTTCTCTGAAAGGTTTCCTTAAGGTAAACACATGCTAGATGGAAATACGACGGCTGTTTTATTAATTCCGGTTATGTAGAAATGTTGGTGTAGCAGTAATTGATTAAACTGATTTAAAGACAGTTTAGGGAAATCATGTATGGTTAGGATGGTGTATGCAAAACAACAAATGATTTCAAATTGAAAAGGTGAATTCCTTAGGTCAAGGTAAGAACGGGTGGCCCCATAACTTTATATCGAGGAGAATACAAATCTACAAACGGTAGAAATTACTCAGCGATATAAGCTCATGGGAACCCGTTTAGAAGCTGTCCCCAGCAACTTGCAGTTGTTGTTAGAGGCGATTAATGGTGGTCAGGCTTGGTTGGTTGGTTGGTTGGTTGGTTTTTAGTTTAACGCTGCACTCAGCAATATTACAGCTTTATGACGGCGGTCTGTAAATAATCGAGTCTGGACCAGACAATCCAGTGATTGACATCATGAGCATCGATCCACACAATTGGGTTAGATGACATGCATCAACCAAGTCAGCGAGCCTGACCACCCGATCCCTTTACTCGCTTTTTACGACAAGCATAGTCGCCTTTTACGGCAAGCAGGGGTCCTGAAGACCTATTCTACCCCGGAATCTTCACGGGTCTCAGGCTTGGTGACTGTATGTCATCATACCCCTACTGTTTGGGGCTTTATTCATGCTTTCAATCACTGGTTTTGTGTCTGGTCAATACTTTACAAGCCATAACTTACAAACCGCTGAATGTCAAAATGTAGTGTTAACGCAAAATACACTTACCCAGCTAAGTGAACACAAATTACAACTTCCCAACTTAGAGGCCATGAAGTAAAGGGCAATCCTCATCCTGCCTACTTCTGCGATCAGCCATGCTGACAGGAACTGTGCATATGTAGATCACAATTGTCAACCGATATGGGAAACACAGGACGTGGATGTTCTCTCAGTGTCACGCAGGGCATTAATTACACTGACACGACATTTTCTGCATCACACAGGGCACTATATACACTTTCTTGATGTCACACACCATACAAAGTTTGTTTGTTGCTTAACGCTGCACTCGGCAATTTTCAAGTTATATGTCAGCGGTCTGTAGGTATTGAGTATGGACCAATTCAGTGGTTGACATCATGTGCATTGATCCATGCAACTAGGAACGATGACATGCATCAACCAAGTCAGCGAGCCTGACCATCTGACCCCATTAGTTGCCTGTTACGACAAGCATGGTTTTCTGAAGACCAATTCTAACTGGATCGTCATAGGTCACTATCAAAGTGTCACGCTGGGTACTAATTACAGTGACGCTGAATTCTCTCAGTGTCACACAAGACACTAAATACACTGACAGTGTCTCGATGTCACACAGGACACGAATTACACTGACACAGTGTTCTCTTGGTGTCACACGGGACACGAATTACACTGACACAGTGTTCTCTTGGTGTCACACAGGACACGAAATACACTGACACAGTGTTCTCTTGGTGTTACACAGGACACGAATTACACTGACACAATCTCAGTGTCAGATACGACACTAATTACAGTGTCTCAGTGTCACAGGGCACTAATAACACTGAGGGTGTCTCTAATTAAACACTAATCTAGCTCTGTTTGAAACTGATCCAGAAAGGTTCTTTGCAGGTTACTATCAAAGTGTCACACAGTACACTCACTAAGCTGACACAATCTTAGTGTCAGATAGGACACTAGTTACACAGACCATGTCTCAGTGTCACAGACCACGAATAACACTGATGCAATGTTCTCTTGTTGTTACCCAGGACACTAACTACACTGACACAGTGTCTCTAATTAAACTGACACTAATCTAGCTCTGTTTGAAACTGATCCAGAAAGGTTCTTACAATTATTTGTGACTTGAGTCCAAACAACAATCATACAGTGGAAGTTGATATCACCACCACCGAAGAAGATAAAAACCCATCAGCTGGAAAGGTTATGGCCCCTGTGATCGGCGATGACATCATCATGGAGTAACTTTTCAAAAGGCCAGACAATAAATGGAACATATCACGCTGAACTTTGGAGGCAATCACAGGATGCTCTTCAACCAGGAAAAAGCACCAGTGCATAAATCAGTCATTGCCATGGCTACAGTTTATGAGGACCCATGGAGATCGGGGGTAGAATAGGTCTTCAGCAACGTAAAAGGTGACTATGCTTGTTGTAAGAGGCGACTAACTATCCCAAATGCGTGGATCGATGCTCATGATGTCAATCACTGGATTATTTATTTGCCAACTGCCATCATATAGCTGGAATATTGCTGAGTGGGGAGTTAACCAACAAACAAACAATTAATTTATGAGTGTTGCTTAGGACTTCCATCTGTTCCCAAACATGAACGACTAACCAGAGAAGTTTCCTACAAAACTGGGATCAAATCCCTCCAACATCTTTACAAAAGTGTATCAATGTGGAAGGGGATTATCTTGAAAAATGAGTTTATTGTCTTTCAGATAAGCCATTCCATGTGAGGCTCAGAACTCATCTATCACCCCTCGTATATAAACCAAAACAATCACAGACTCCATTTATTTTCAATCATGTTTAATATAAAAACAGTATGTGTAACAATAGCATTTTTTTAACATCTGGTATTGTAAATGAATCCGGCACTGGACACAGCAAAAGTGTTACATTGCCGGAACTGAACAAAGCCAGTTCTCCACAGGACCTTTGATGCTTTAACCAAACCAAACACTGACTTCATGATCAAAACAATCTAACAATGACGAATACCTTAGCACCGCCCTTTCCCAATTATTCCTTATTTCTTCAAATATTAACTTGTTTACAAGACGGGACCTTTTGCCCCTTCAACTTATGATTCTTGTTTGTAAGAAGTGTTGTCAGATTGAAGACTTACATCAATCCTACTTCTAAGAAGTGTTGTCAGATTGAAGACTTATATCAATCCTCCTAATTGTAAGAAGTGTTGTCAGATTGAATTCTTATATCAATCGTACTCCTAAGAAGTGTTCTTTTTTAATTTTGACTCTATCTACATGCATTTGCATATAACCTGAATTATTTTCTTACCAATTATACACTTATTTCCATTCTCTTCAGAATCAACAATCACTGACATCAAATTTCAAACATGTTCATGTATCCATGCTTTTGCATTTTGATCCATTATGAATATTCATTAGGGCATAAAGAAACAGAAAATGTGCCTGTGTTTACATTTCTTCCCTCTGATACTCTAGATGGATGTATAGACTGACATATAGTGTCAGTTAACACTGCAACACAAGGGACACAGTGAGTGAGTGAGTGAGTATGGCTTTACGCCGCTTTTAGCAATATTCCAGCAATATCACGGCGGGGGACACCAGAAATGGGCTTCACACATTGTACCCATGTCGGGATTCGAACCAGGGTCTTCTGCGTGACGAGCGAACGCTTTAACCACTAGGCTACCCGACCGCCCCACAAGGGACACAGGCAGCACTTGGTAAATACTCACCACGGTACGTAGAAACTCTTGATTATTCAGTTACTCTGGATTAGTGGACATACAATCTGCAAATCTGTATAACTTGTTAATACCTGTTACTGCATACTTCTTCAAGGTCACTTGGTAGGGGGCAGTTGGGTAGCCTAGTGGTTAAAGCGTTTGCTTGACACATCGAAGACCCGGGTTCAATTTCTGACATGGGTACAATGTGTGAAGCCCATTTCTGGTGTTCCAAACCGTGATATTGCTGGAGCATTGCTAAAAGCGTAGTAAAACCATACCCACACACTCACATGGTAGGGTAGGAATTCAAAAACATAAATGTTTGAACTGTTTCCTTATTCATGGGTAAAAAAATCAGTTTCAACAAAAACAATAATTTCAAGACCAACCCGATACTCTTGAGTAGGAGGCACCATAGATAAAGATATACATGTAGTCACAATCATACATTCAATTAAAAAACATGGCAAACCTTTGACAGGAGTCAACAATGACATAAACATCTTATCATACAATACACCACAACCTTCTAACAGTTATTATCAAAAGTACAAAGAATCTTAGAAAAAATATGATTATATACATTTTCCACTTTTCTCAGCTTTACTCAAAATATATTTACATTTTAAATAAAGGTACACTGAAGTCATATACCAAATGGATGCTTGAAATGACCTAGATTCAAAATATGGACACATATGGTAGTGTTTGTCCAGACTCAAGAAACCTGCATGTTTGGCTCATGCTGTGTTGTAAATATGCATTAAAATTTACCAATTTCGTCAGTGGTCACACAAGTTATTTAGTCTGACATAATGATTAACTTACACAACGAATATACAATGCTATATAGTAAGTGATCAAATGTAACAAATGTTTTATTTGGGATAACACTTTCTTAGCGAAGTACAGATTCTGGAACCTGTTTTGGGTTGAGTCCCGTTCGGGACTGAAACCAGCACTCCCAGAGTGAGGCTCCTAATCGCCAGCACACAAAGTCGGCAATCTAGTCCTCTCAGCCACCGAGGCTCCCACAGAAAAAGAAAGTCTGACAACTGGTAGTCTAGATCACATATTTTGTGTACCCCTCTGACAAGTATAACTTGGCACAGCTCCCATGGCCAAAAGTTATGAATACACAATGCCATTTAGAAAGTGGTCAAATGTAACAAATGTTATATTTGGGATAACACTTTCTGAGTAAAGTACAGATTCTCGTACTTTTAGGGGTTGAGTCCCATCGGGGATTAGAACCCGCACTCCGAGAGTGAATCACCTATCACAGGTATCGGTTTGAATCCTGGATGGGACTCAATGCAAAATAGTTCTAGAATCTGTACTTTCCTCAGAAAGTGTAATCATAACATTTGTTACACAATATTGCCAGGACATTATCATGTATAATTAACAGCATGGCTAGATATCAATATCATGTACAACAGCACAACCTGTACCACACAAAACCAGTCTACAAAAACATTTCATTCTTTAAACAAATGATGACCCCCTACTATACAGATATGATCCTCTTTTTTTAGTTTCTTGAGATGAGAAACTTTTCTTTTATCCTGAGTGCTAAGTATGCTGCCTCAAGTTTCTGCAAACAGTCAAAGGTTGGACAAAAAAAAGGAAAAAAAGAATTATGTGTCTGAAGGAATACTTTCATTTCTTATGTTTCTCATTCCTCCAGCTGTAACCTAACTTTGTATATCACATGTATTGCATATTTCATGCAGTGTGTGTTGAAGTTATTGCAAATAAGTTTCATTTTGTGTCTGTGGTCATGGTGGTGATGCAAGTCATTGAGTCATCTTAAATAACTTTCATAATGTTGCCTGGATATTATCTTGTGAAGCAAACAGTATAGGTAGACATTGGCAACACATAAAACTGGACTTACATGCCACCTGTAGGACACAATAAAGATAACCCCTACCACAAATATGTGACCCCTACCACAAATATGTGACCCCTACCACAAATATGTGACCCCTACCACAAGAACAGACAAGTGGGTCATCATCACCCAAAGATAACAACGCTAAGGAAAATTCTGATATGTGGTAAACAGGTTTTTGTTCGTAGGGGCCAAAATGTAGGTTTGAGATATCTACATTGTGCAATATGGGTCAGCTGGCCATATGTCAAAATACAAGCCCATCATTTTCACAAATAACATGGCCCAGAAGAATTCACATCGGGCTGCAATACTGTTTCTACACCGTAGGGCTGTACTGTCAGGGATTTACCTGGACCTGCTCAGAAGCAATACGTGCCCCAAGTCTGCAGCAAATGTTGGGAAAACTTCCCACATTGAATCTAAAACTGTAATTGGTTTTTGGATTCCGCCTGACAAAACTCTGAAAAGGTCAAACTAATGTGCTCACAAAAACTGTGCATGCAATAAGATAAGTGGCATGACAATCAGTTAAACTGCAACACGAGTTCAAGGTTAATCTGAAACATCCTTTCTTTTTTCTCTCATAGGGTTAGCCCACCTGTCTTCAGTCACAAACATTCTGTAAACCGAGAAAGAAACAAACTGGCCTTATCGTGTTTGAGAAAATATTATCAATTGCATAGCTAACTATTGCTAACTAAGGCTAACTATTATTAACTGTAAACAAGCTTGATACAACTGGAATTCGGTAAAAAAATACAAATTTGAAATAAAGGACAAAAGTACACAATAAGAGTCAAATGCTACGTATAAAGAATGAATGTTACACATAAAGGTCAATGTTTACATACAAATAATGAATTCAAAATACAAAACAACACCAATCAACAAATTGCAAACAAAAGAGGTGAGGTGAAATTAGGTTTAACGTCGCGTCAAAGATTATTGCACTTATATAGCCATGTGCATGCACGTGTGTTGTTGTCAGCGGCCTATGCTTTGGGATAACTAATGCACGTGCGTGTGTGTGTGGCTTCTTGTACTAGTCCAGACGGATGCCGATTTATAGTGCTAGCTTAACATGAATACCCCACTCAGACATAGTATACTGACTCTGAGCCGACCAGCCCTTATTTTAGCCCCTTAATGACAAGCGCCAGACAGGGTAACAACAAGTACCATCTTTTAAGGTCTTTTGGTATGACGCGGCAAGGGATTGAACCCTGTACCTTCCGCTCTCCGGGCGGATGTAAAGAAAGAACAATGTGTACGAAGGACGACTGTGCACAGAAAGGACTCTATACTCAATACTTTATTGACAATAAAGAACACCAGATGGTGTTGCAATTTGTAAAACATTCTGAGTTTAATCGGCTGTGTATATGATAAATGCATGCTGAAGTGTTCAATGTATTAAGTCATTCCTTGTGTACTCCGGAATTTTGAAATCATTATTTGTATGTAAACAATGACTTTTATTTATAACATTCATTTTTTATTCATAACATTTGAGTATTATTGCGTACTTCAGTCCTTTATTTCAACTTTGTACTTTTTAACGGAATGGCCGCCGGTAACTGGAGCACCACCCACTGTCCCTGGCGTAAGCGCTGTCACTCTGTGTATAGATACAGCTTCATATATCAACTGCTTGTTTAAACAGATCATCATCATTTTTCATCATCATCATCATCCATCGCCTGCATCATCATCATCATCATCATCAGACATCACCTGCATCATCATCATCAGACATCAACTGCATCATCATCATCATCATCAGACATCACCTGCATCATCATCATCAGACATCACCTGCATCATCATCATCATCATCAGACATCACCTGCATCATCATCATCAGACATCACCTGCATCATCATCATCATCATCAGACATCACCTGCATCATCATCATCAGACATCACCTGCATCATCATCATCATCATCAGACATCACCTGCATCATCATCATCAGACATCACCTGCATCATCATCATCATCATCAGACATCACCTGCATCATCATCATCAGACATCACCTGCATCATCATCATCATCATCAGACATCACCTGCATCATCATCATCAGACATCACCTGCATCATCATCATCATCATCATCAGACATCACCTGCATCATCATCATCAGACATCACCTGCATCATCATCATCAGACATCACCTGCATCATCATCATCAGACATCACCTGCATCATCATCATTTATCATCATTATCATCATCATCATCATCATCATCATCATTTATCATCATCATTTATCATCATCATCATCATTATCATCATCATCATCATCATCATCAGACATCACCTGCATCAGTCGTCTACATAAAATGAATATATGATCATAATTATTTGTCTTGGCTATGTGGCCAGTTCACCACTCATTCATTCATTCATTACTTGTATAAAGTTGTTGACAAAATAACATCTTAGTTCCCACCAGTTACAACTCGTCTTTCTTCTTATTCTTCTCTGACTTTTTAGTTTTTTCTTTCTTTTTCTCTTTTTTCTTTTCTTCCTTTTCTTTTCTCTTCCTTTCTTCTTCCTGCCTTCTCTGTTCCTCTTCTCTCGCTCGCTGCTCACAGAGTTCAGACATTATCTGATCAGCAGCCCTGATGCCCGAGTTGTAGGCGCCGTGTAGTGTCCCGATTCCTTTGAATATGGTGTGCTCCCCGGCAAAGTAGATATAGGGGCACAGCGGCTCGGACAGCGTGCTCCACATGCTGATGTCATTGCCTGGAAAAAACAGCCCAATAAATAGCTATTCAGTGGTAGAAAATTATTTTTTTGTGATCAAAATATACTTTATACTTATCCTGACTCATACTAATTTACTTATTTGCTTATGTCTTCCTATTCCTGAAACCTACTGGAAACCTTAGTGCAGTGTTCCTAAATGAACAGAAAACATCTCACCCAAACACAGTCATGCACAAGCATACGAGAAACACACGAGCAACAAGTCTGATAATGCGTGTGTGCGTGAGTGTGTTGCTTAGCGCTACACCATGTACATACAGCAATATTCCATCTATATTATGGCGGTTAGTTTTGTCACAGCATGTCAGCTTCATGTGCAATAAAAGCCAAGCGTGATGCAGCATGAAGATGTTTTCCCCACTTGTATGATACTAACACCACAAGACAGTAACTTACCAACTTTAGGGTATGAGTTGCCAAGCCCAGAATGCAATGTGCTTTTCCAACTAGATCGCAGAACCTTTACTATCTCCCTTGACTCAGCCATTGGACCAAACAATGTTGTAAGGCGTTCACGGACTGCAATGCAAGTACATTCAGCATAATTACTAAACAAGGTAGTAAGGTGTTAACGTTTCAGCATGAGTACCAAACAATGTAGTAAGGTGTTCACAGCATAACGACCAAACAATGTAGTAAGGTGTTCATAGCATAATGACCAAACAATGTAGCAAGGTGTTCACATTTCAGCATAATGACCAAATAATGTAGAAAGGTGTTCACATTTCAGCGTAACAACCAAACAATGTAGCAAGGTGTTCACATTTCAGCATAATGACCAAACAATGTAGTAAGGTGTTCACAGCATAACAACCAAACAATGTAGCAAGGTGTTCACATTTCAGCGTAACGACCAAACAATGTAGTAACATGTTCATGATTCAGCAATAGATTAGGACCAAACAATGTAGCAAGGTGTTAATGATTCAGCATCGGGGCCTACAATTTAGAATTAACTTTCATTTTGTGTGAAATATGGACCTTCATAGAGTGAGAGCCAAACTGAGTGAACATCAGGGCTTGTGTCACATAGATGAAAATAAAGGTAAATTCATTCACCGCTGAATTTGCTGTAGGCTGTAACTGTCAGTCTAGACACATCAAGCCAGAACTACGATAGTTTGGATGTGCATTTCTTCGTTTTGTTCCCTAGGATGGATAGTGGCGAGCATATTCTTGAATGGACAGGCAGTTAAGCTCTCTGGTTTATGTCAATGTATGCTAAAACACCAACTGCAGGATTAAAGGGCCCAGATGATCAGAAACAATGCTTCTGTATTTATTCATGCTAGGGAATTCCCAGGAGTTTCAACAGGAATGTGGAAGTTGTCCATCTCTGTTTACGTCATTTAAAGAATATCGACAATATCGACAACTGAAAAATGTGTCGTTCATACACTTATGTACTTCAATTCGTGGTCATGTGACAACCTCTCATCCAATGGAAAAGCTGTATTTCGTGTAAACGTCACATAAATAAATTACTGTTATATGGAGTCCATGATTCAACATGAAGACCAACCATTGTAGCAAGGTGTCAGCATTTCAGCATTAAGACCAAAAGCTGCAGCAGAGTTTTCAGAATACAGCATTGTGAGGTGAGGTGAAATGGGGTTTAATGTCAATACCATGCCACAATTTAACATGAATACCCCCCTCTGACACAATGTACTGACTCTGAGCCAAACAGTCCTTGTTTTAGCCCCTTAATGCCGAGTGCCAGGCAGGGTAACAACAAGTACCATATTTTAACATCTTTTGGTATGACGCGGCCATGACCTTCACTCTACAGGCAGACGCTCTACCACTAGACCAATGTAGTATGGTGTTCATGATTAAGCACTCGGGCCTACAATGTAGTAAAGTGTTCATGATTCAGCACTAGGGCCTGCAATGTAGTATGGTGTTCATGATTCTGCACTAGGGCCTGCAATGTAGTGAGGTGTTCATGATTCATCACTAGGGCCTGCAATGTAGTGAGGTGTTCATGATTCTGCACTAGGGCCTGCAATGTAGTAAGGTGTTCATGATTCTGCACTAGGGCCTACAATGAAGTAAGGTGTTCATGATTCAGCAAAAGGACTAGCAATAGCAATAGCAATAGCAATAGCAATCACACGGTCAAGTTAGTTTCCTCTTATGACAAGCGTCCACCTCCGTGGTCTAGTGGATAGAGAATCTGCCCGGAGAGCTGGAGGCCGTGGGTTTGATCCATGGCCACGTCATACCAAAAGACTTTAAAAGATGGTACTTGTTGTTACCTTGCCTGGCACTTGGCATAAGATCCTAAGTTGGCCATGCTTGACAAGTGTCCAAAGCATACCCGAGCTGGTGGGTTTCACCAAAGTGGTAAACGTCTGAGACCTGCATCAGTTCGGGCTTTCCTCCCACATTAAGCTGACACGCCGTGATATAACTGGAATGCTGTTAAAAGTGGCGTTATACCCACCTCACTCACTCACTCATTTGGCTAGCGCAATAAAATCAGCATTAGACTTACTAGTACAAGCACACACATTCCCGACATGGGTACAATGTGTGAAGCCCATTTCTGGTGTCCCCCGCCGTGACATTGCTGGAATATTGCTAAAAGCTGCGTAAAATCTCACTCACTCACTCACAAGGATACACACACGTGAAAGCACATCGCTATATAAGTGCAATCATCTTGATTGCGTCGTCAAACCCCATTTCTGATCACCCTACCTCACCTTACGACAAAGATAGGTTACTGGTGGCCCATTCTAAACCTGAATCCTCATGGGGAGAATTTAACATCTCATTTGTATCTGCACATCAAAAAGTTTATTATACTGATTTTACAAAACAAGCAAGTTATATCGGTTCTTGCCATTTGTTATTCTCTTGAAAATGTTTTGTTATAAACTGTAAATTTCTCATTTAATTCATTTCGCAAAGCGCCATTTTGGTTACTTGACCAGTGTGTCTTCTTTTGCTTCCAACAGAAGTCTCTTAGATTTCAAGATTTTTTCTTTGTTGAAATTGATTTTGTACATAATCGTATCTAAATATATGATAAAGAATTTTTGTGACATTAATATTTTTTTTTACTTTTGTTTATATTTTTTAAGATTTTGCCAACACGGAACTATTTTTAAGTCGCAAATACAAGTGGTGGTGAAACGTCCCTGTGTGTTAGATAGGGAGAATTTACGTTTCAAGGTTTAACATTTGTAAAGAAATAATTAAATTAAAGACAACTATACTAAAAGTATATAATAAACAGGATATTCCATGTGTCTCATAAAATATCATGTTTCTCTCATATCGTGATGGGGGAAAAGGATACATATATTAGCTCATGGTTACGCCACTAGAGAAAATATCTCCTTTCCCCTATCACTCGATGAGAGAGACGTGATATTTTACTCGACACATGAAATATCCTCCATATCATACCAACACAGAATGTGTCCTGGTACATTGGCCTGTGGACGTATCTGCCATTACTTACCCAGAGCTTTCACTTCTTCATCCGTCATATTTTCAAACTTGACTGAAGCAGATCCGCCAAGCATACTGACGAGGACGGGTCGACCTACGAGTTTGTGCATGTTCAACCATTTCTGCATCATCCCAGGCTCAGCTTCCTCGTCAGCCAACAGAAACACTCCCACATCAGTGGGCCAGAACACCTCGTCAAACTCAACAATCAGCTTGTTGCCATAGGATGTCCCTGAAATGTCACATCGTTAGCTGTCATAGAAGTCACTGCACCTTAAATAAGACAAAATTAATCGATAGATGTTTGATTTACGCAGCCCTCAGTACCATATGCAGCTATCTGAGGGCGACCCATAAAAATCAAATATGGAACTGACAAACTAGTGATTGAGGTATAAGCCCGCGTTGTCAAGGCATGCTAACATTCTATCAACCCAATCTCATTAAAATCAGATCGTAGTCCTTGCTATGCTAAACAAAGATCTGAGGACATCCCATTACGGGTCACACCAGAACGACCTTTCGCGAATTTTGACCGACCATAAAATGACTGACAAGAAATCGACATTAGCCAATCAGAAGGCAGCTTTCTCGAGCTTAACGACACTAGTTTCAAACTGGCGACTACATATTCTGACGTATTCTCGCTTAAAAAAATTAAAACTGACAAGAAGAACATTCTGGAATGGCTCATAGATGGCCTAGATTGTATGGATATAATCCTAAAAACCATACTGTCGTTCGGAATACCCTGTATTAAATATTTCGTGGTTGCATGATTAGAAAACACATTCCGATTGTCACTTTCATGATCTGGTAAGCGACGCTCTGATTGGTTGGATGAAAGGTCGTTCTGACGTGACCCTTAATGGGATGTCCTCAGATCTTTGTTTAGCATAGCAAGAACTAAGATCTGATTTTAATGAGATTGGCTATCAACCAAATCACTGATCCTGACTTCACAATCCATGAAGTTGCCTTGCAGTCCCTGCAGTATTCTGCGATTCCGCCGTTGTGAAATATTATGAAGAAATGCTGATTCCATTCAACAATGTACCTATATTTCAGAAAATCCCAATTTGTGCAGACCTCCTGCAGAAGTTTGCATTTATCTGCGGCAGAATTCATCAAATACATTGCAGATTATTAACATTTGAATCGTAACCTTGTCTTAAACGTGAAAACGGATATTAATTTCATTTCGTAGTTAAGTCCACTTTTGAATTATTGCTTACCAAAGGTGCATGTCTGTATGTTTACAGATGTCCAGGTTCACTTCGTTAAGCTATTCTAGCCGTGAAAAAGTTTATCAAAAGTATACCTGCCACCAACCAAACAGGTGCAAAAGTACGAAATTCACGGAAACTAAGGCTAAAAGTCTGCAGAATTGTGTGCAGAATTACGAAAATTAATTTAGAAAAATGGACCGTAGAATTTGCATATCTTGGGATGCGGAATACAGTGGGGACTGTTGTATGGCAAGCATAGGTTACTGGGGGCCAGTTCTCACAAGGAATCCCCATGGGGAATCCAACAGTATATGAATCATGTAGATGGGGGGTTGAACGTGTATCTTCATGAGGAGGCTTATATGACCATGTTTCAACATCAACCTCTCTGACAAGGTTCTAAAGTGGTTCCTAAATGTCTATCAATGAGTTCCTAAAGTTACTGTTAAATCTCGGGCACTATGGAAACAGTCACAAGCACACAAACTCCGGAGATGAAACGACTTTTGAATTTATTATTTATAATGAATAAAACACAAATTCCCTCATAGTTCTAAATCTGACAAACGGGTAATTACTTTGTTGTGGCCTTAAAACAACTTTCACCAACCTATTTCCTTCAGTGCTTTCTTGTACAGCCCAGGCAGCATGGGCTCAAACATCAGGCTCTCGTCTCTAATGACTGCAGCTGGCACGGCAACCACCACAGCATCTGCACTGACTTGGCTGCCATCACGCAGCCTGACGATCACCTTCTTCTTGCGGTCATCGACCTTGATCTGTCTCACAACAGTTCGCAGCTCTATAGACAGATGTGTCTCTCCATCTCCACCACTCAACAGTCTGCAACGTATGAGTACTCCAATAACCGATAATATCATTCTTTCTTCATCTCATCCTGTTTGTAGGGATAATTCTAGGGGGGGCTTGTGCTTTTAGCCCCTAAATTTGAAATAAAGGCCCACATTTTCAAAGACAATGGGGCATATTAACATTGTGTTGTAGGGGCAAGTGTGGGTGTACCTCTGGAATATTTGAAATGTTCAGATAAAGGGCCCATGTCAGGCAATTCCTATATAGTGGACCTTGTGTTTGGGATGTGACTGAATTTGAAAGTAAAATTTGGAGATTAGATTTATTGATGATACATGTATATCATTTGAGAAAGTATCACTAAGCCTGAAGTCATTTAGGAGATAAATCGACTTTGTTTTGAAATTTGTTGTAGTCCCACTGTAGAGTAGATACCTCTATATTTTAATTTGGAACCGAGCGCTTATTGCTTTTCTCAAACCTCCTTTCAAAATCTACTTCTTACACAGCTGACATAATCTTACAATCCTGGAGTAACGTTTCACAGGCAGACTCACCTGTCTGTACTCCCCATACCATCCAGGAGAAATGTGTCACAGCCAGACTCACCTGTCTGTCAGCTCCCCCATACCGTCCTGGAGAAATGTGTCACAGCCAGACTCACCTGTCTGTCAACTCCACCATACCATCCAGGACAAATGTGTCACAGCCAGACTCACCTGTCTGTCAACTCCACCATACCATCCAGGACAAATGTGTCACAGCCAGACTCACCTGTCTGTCAACTCCACCATACCATCCAGAAGAAATGTGTCACAGCCAGACTCACCTGTCTGTCAACTCCCCCATACCATCCAGGACAAATGTGTCACAGCCAGACTCACCTGTCTGTCAACTCCCCCATACAATCCAGGAGAAATGTGTCACAGCCAGACTCACCTGTCTGTCAACTCCCCCATACCATCCAGGACAAATGTGTCACAGCCAGACTCACCTGTCTGTCAACTCCCCCATACCATCCAGGACAAATGTGTCACAGCCAGACTCACCTGTCTGTCAACTCCCCCATACCGTCCAGGACAAATGTATCACAGCCAGACTCACCTGTCTGTCAACTCCCCCATACCATCCAGGACAAATGTGTCACAGCCAGACTCACCTTTCTGTCAACTCCCCCATACCATCCAGGACAAATGTGTCACAGCCAGACTCACCTGTCTGTCAACTCCACCATACAATCCAGGAGAAATGTGTCACAGCCAGACTCACCTGTCTGTCAACTCCCCCATACCATCCAGGACAAATGTGTCACAGCCAGACTCACCTGTCTGTCAACTCCACCATACCATCCAGGACAAATGTGTCACAGCCAGACTCACCTGTCTGTCAACTCCCCCATACCATCCAGGACAAATGTGTCACAGCCAGACTCACCTGTCTGTCAACTCCCCCATACCATCCAGGACAAATGTGTCACAGCCAGACTCACCTGTCTGTCAACTCCCCCATACCATCCAGGACAAATGTGTCGAAGCCGAAGTCAATGAGATCTGTCTGATACAGGGCGGAGGAGAAGTCGGGGAAGTTGTAAGTGGGCAGGAGTTCCATGATGCTGATGACAACCTCCTTATTGTCCTGCCCCAGACTCCTCAGCTCATCAATAGCCTGTGAGACCACACTCCGCACTGATCGGTCTTCTCCCTTCACACTCTCTATTGCTTGCAGATACCGCTGGAAATGAAGACAGGCAAGGAGTAAACATAGGTGTGATAGTAATATAGTCGTGCAGATTCCTAATCACCAAAATCCATACAATGGCACAGGTGAGGTGAGGTGAAATGGGGTTTAACGTCGCGTCCAAGATTATTGCACGTATATAGCGACGTGCATTCACGTGTGTGTGTGGCTGCTTGTACTAGTCCGGACTGATGCCGATTTATAGTGCTAGCTCACTGAGATACCATGCCGCAGTTTAACATGAATACCCCACTCAGACACAGTATACTGACTCCGAGCCAACCAGTCCTTGTTTTAGCTCCTTAATGCATAGTGCCAGGGTCCAGGGCTGTGACATATATTGAATCTTCTTAATTTCTATATTCACTCTCTCAACTCACTATTTGACCCACTGATGATAAATGAGACTGCTTCACACAAGTGCATATCCTCATAATACCCCATCCTCATAATGGAGATACACATTATATCACAGTACAGTGAATCAACTCAGTTGTAAGCCCCAGAGCTCCAGAGAGCAATTGAGTTTTTACTTGAGGTTTCTATTTTAATTGGGTTATTACATTTTTCATTGGGTAACCTATATTTTTTCACTCATCTATTCATCACTCTATTGGGTTTTTCCCAAAATGAGAGCACATTTTGAGATTTCAAAAAAAAAATTTAAAAATGTTTTAGATGTATATAACGGTTCTAAATATAGGCTTGACTCAGAAAGTAAATAGCTCGTAATTGTGTTTCGGAAATTAGCTCCATTGTACGCATGATGAAAAAGCTTCATTGGATATTTACGGGTCATGTTTTTATACATTTGAGTTTTTCATTTAATGCATGTGTTTCTGTATACAAGTTAATTGAAAGTAATTGGGTTTTGAATATTTTGGGGGGTATTTTACGCAAATACGCTACTTGTCTGTAGCTCTGAGGCCAAGTGGTAGGCCCACAGAACTGCACATAGAATACTAGCACATCAGTGAGTGAGTATGGTTTTTACGCCGCTTTTAGCAATATTCCAGCAATATCACGGTGGGGGACACCAGAAATGGGCTTCACACATTGTACCCATGTCGGGAATCGAACCCGGGTCTTCAGCGTGACGAGCGAACGCTTTAACCACTAGGCTTCCCGACCGCCCCTACTAGTACATCAAATATCATTATGAAAAGAAGATAAATCTTAAATATTAAAAAATAAAAATACATAATATCAACTGAATATTTTCATCCCATCCATGTATCCAATATGAAGAATTTCATATTTCTAAAGCAAATAGAAACATACTTTTCTGGCTTCAATGAAAGCTTCAACCAATTCAGTTCCTGAAAATCTCTTGTTAAGTTTGGTCACAAACAATTGCATTGGTCCCAGTTTAGTGGTTTGTAGGTCCAGCTTCTCCGTGAGATTGAGTAACAGGTTGTTGCTGGCTGCGGAGTTCAGCACCGCGCCTCCGAGGTCTGCCTCCACACCTGCAAGATGATGCACTGATGGTTTGTGTTGTTCCAAATAACAGATTTCTTTAATGATCAACTAGTTTCAGATTCCAATCAAAGAAAAAAGATCAAGGAATTTATGAATGATTATTTTTTAATTATATCGGTTTATTTCAATTAATGTGTGGGAGTAAAATTACAGTTGAGTATGACATCTATAAAGACACAAAATCCAGGTTTCAAGACTTGTTGTTGTAGTCTTTCCTCGTAGACATCTTTGTGTTGCAGATGGAAGTAAAATATCAGCTAAACAGTGTTTACATGCATATTCTGGCCACTGAAGCTTAAATTCAAGGGATGTTGGTTCTTGTGTCCGTACCTTTGGACGAGCTAGTGATCCCCTCTGATCAACAATTACCTGGCATTTTCTAAACTGCATGAAAACACAGCACCAGAGTTATTTGCCAAGATGAGCCAAATAAGGATGCTCTTTCAATGGGAGATAACCCATCATACCCTATTTGCTCATAATTCTGACAAAGCCACATGAAGTATCATAAAATCTCCCTCTTTCTGCTGAGGGATGAATCTTTAAAGTTTGTTTGTTGTTTAATGCCGCACTCAGCAATATTCCAGCTATAGGATGGTGGTCTGTAAATAATCAAGTCTTAACCAGACCATCCAGTGATTAACATCATGAGCATCGATTCACGCAACAGGAGTACTATGATAGCATCAACCAAGTCAGCGAGCCTGAAAGCCCAATCTTGTTAGTCGCTTCTTACAACAAGCATAGTCGCAAGAATGGGTTGCTGAAGACCTATTCTTACCAGATCTTCACTGGTTGAATCTTTAAAGTGTCAGAGACAGCAAGATAAGGGGACTCAGGGATGCAATAATGTTAAGAAGCATATCTTATATATAGACCAACCAGAATGTGACAGTTTGAGCTCTTAAAGCTACATAACAATGACAACAACAATCATAAGCATAAAACATGATACTGATCGTGAATGACTCACAGATTTCAATCAAAGTATCAACAAACCTGTGGCATGGGGCATGTTTTTCTTGTCTGTCCACACACGCCCACCATATCGTTCCCTCCTGGCCTCAAACACGGTCACATGGTAGTCAGCTGTCCTATTGTTCCTGATAGCCCGAGCAGCTGCAAGTCCTGCAATGCCTCCGCCGATCACAATAATTTCTTTCCTTTTACATTCCACCAACGCCACCACTACAAACACTGCCAAAATCACTGATACCAATCGACCCTGTCTCTGTGGTGTCATTTCTGAAATAAAAGAAATATTTCAATTAAACTTATACAGTATTGCAGGACACAATATTCATACACATTACAGGGTTTTACTGAAAAGAAAATACTGTCTTATAAGAATACACATTAGGAATGGATACAAATTATCTACTTTGTAAGCCATGAATGACTCCAAAACGTTTGGCTGTCTGAATCAAATAAACCTAATCAAAATTGTCAAATGTTACACAAAACTGACATTTCTACATGTATTGTTCAGATCTGTGAAGATCTGTGTAGAGAATAGATATTCAGCAACCCATGCTTGCCATAACTGGCAACTATGCTTGTAGTAACAGTTGGTTGGTTGGTTGGTTTGTTGTTTAACGCTGCACTCAGAAATATCCCAGCTATGTGACGGCGGTCTGTAAATAATCGAGTCTGGACCAGACAATCCAGTGACTGACATCATGAGCATCGATCCACGCAATTGGGATCGATGACATGCATCAACCAAGTCAGCGAGCCTGACCACCCGATCCCGTTAGTCGCCTTTTACGACAAGCATAGTCGCCTCTTACGGCAAGTATGGGTTGCTGAAGACCTATTCTAGCCCGGATCTTCACGGGGCTTGTAGTAACAGGCGACTAACGATCAGGTGGTCAGGCTTGCAGACTTGGTTGATGCATGCATTTTATCCCAATTACGTAGATTGCTGCTGATGTCAATCACTGGAATGTCTGGTCCAGTCTCGATTATTTAAAGACCGCCGTCATATTGGTGGAATAATGCTGAGTGTGGCATTAAACAACAAACAATCATGTATTATTCTAGAAAGAAAATTTACTGAAATTTCACAGTTCAGGGCTGATTTTCTTCAATCTTACATTGAAATCGTCTACAAGAGACTAAAGGCTTCTGAGGATGTGACATCAGTGAAAATCTTGAAATGAAGTTAATTTTCTTACATGTTGCAAGCCTGGGAACCCTGGGACCCCCGGGACCCCGTGTTCATGTCATGGAACCCCCCAAATTATAACTGAGAATCCTGTGCACACAAAAATAGATCTAAACACACGTAAATCCCAGAGTTGAGACATTCTCTAAACATAAAAAGTTGGTTGGTTGGTTTGTTGTTTAACGCTGCACTCAGCAATATTCCAGCTATATGATGACGGGCTGTATCAATAATTGTGTCCGAACCAGACAATCCAGTGATTGACATCATGAGCATCGATCCACGCAAATGGGAAACAATGACATCCATCAACCAAGTCAGCCAGTCTGACCACCCGATCCCGTTAGTCGCCTCTGAAGACCTATTCTACCCCGGATCTTCACGGGTATTATCACTGAAGATATTTTCATTTGGCCCTGTAACCACATGTAGTATCACACTGAAATTATAGAATGGGTACAGGGTTTGGAGGAAAACAAACAAAAATTAGAGAATTTTTCAATTGTCTCGTTCAATGTCAGTGTGAAAAAACCCCGGCGCCTGGGGCTACAACAGTAGTTTGTATCGGAATGTTATATGGTCATTGCCGTGCCAAATAAGATCAAAAAACGATCAGAGATGCTAGCAGGCATTTAGTATCTTCCGTTAAACAGTAGGCTAGTCTGCGATGTCAGTGGCTCGTTTACCTCTTACAGACGTAGTATTTACATTGAGCTTCTAACGTGCTTCGCTTAACACTTTACTTCCTGTTTCCGCACGCTGAATGTCCCGCCACAGGGAGAAATCATTGCCCTAATCTTCTCTCTGACATATGTTTGTAATATATAACAAATGATTTACAAAAACAAAACTTTGAATGAACATCATTGAAATGTTAAGCTGAACTACTTAGGGTGCTGTTAATAAGGAGTATTGATTGTGAAATTGAGAGTAAAAAAATGGACTTCTAACTTTTGCGCCGTACATGTATAGTTACGGTGGCGATCGGAGTTTATATGTGCCTTGGGTGCGTTCTTTACTGGAACTTAAATGTATTCTCTGCCTGTTGAGCGGTATTGGTGAATTTTCCTGTGAAACTGAAAGAGCGTTCAGGGTCTAAATTTAAATTAAATTATATATTCCGATGCATAAAGAAATAGTTCCACTCCGCTCTGCTATGATTTTTTATGAAATGTGCTATGTACCAAGCTCCTCGCAGCGAGCTCTCTGCCAAAAGTCAAAGCTCCCCACTGTGATAGGTGGCTACAACCATGCTTGGAGTTGAACTCGCAGCCGACTGACCTTTACATACATATGTTAACACACAATTTAATTAAGTTACGACTGCCGTGATGCCAAATACTCTTACCCCTGCTAAATTATTTCCTTTGTTTGTCAGTTTGAACTTCTGTTTCATTACTATCATGTAATTGATATAGTAAGAATGTAAGTTGGTTGATTTCCCGTTCGTCTGCAATCTCGTACCAATCTAATCAAAGAAAGAAAAAGGCAAATTCATGTGGGAAATATGGTCAGTCGTAAACCTTTTTAAAATTCACTATGATTGCATTCCCAAAGACGCAAAGGAAAGTATAAACACAATACTACATTTGGGGTTAGAGGGAAAATTTCAAGCATCGAGCATTTTCCAAATTCATGGTAGAATATGTGATTATCTCAATTTGAAAATATATGAGTACAAGTGGAATTTGAATCTCACACCATTATCATATCTTATCCAATGATTTGACTAAATATGATATGTCGTTCTTCGTTGGTCAAACACAACATAACAGGAAATCTCATGACGTGAAAATGCCACGAGCGTTTTTCCTCAGTGTAGATAGCTCCGACACCGGTACAAACATGACGAAAAAACGGGCCTCGGTTCCGTGTGCATTTATGCTCACGTGATAACTATTATACGGAAGCCCGTTTGGGTCATATAATATTTTTCTTGAACATTCAATAAAGGATGTTGAAATTTTATACTGATTTGAAATGCTAAGTGCCATAACAATGTCAAAACGTTAATTTATTATTTTGAAATTTCAACATGGTAACTTGAATTTTTAAATAGCATCTTCATCTCCTATGAAAAGAGACATGGCTCTAATTCAGTTTCGTACTGTCATATTGACCACTCATGATCAGCCTGCACTATTTTTTTTAAGTTGAATATCGAGCGAGCGAGTTAATGTTGTTTTTAACCGCCGTAAAAATAGTTCAGTTATATCATAGCGACCTGTGAATAATCATGTCCGTGCCAGACAAATAACTAATACAGTGACCCAAACCATGTTTGTTTGTTTGTTGTTTAACGCCGCACTCAGCAATATTCCAGCTGTATGACGGCGGACTGTAAATAAACGAGCCTGTACCAGACAATCCAGTGATTGATATCATGAGCATCGATCCACGCAATTGGGATCGATGACATGCATCAACCAAGTCAGTGAGCCTGACCACCCGATCCCCTTAGTCGCCTCTTAGGACAAGCATAGTCGCCTTTTACGACAACCCCAAACCATGAGCAACTATCCACGCCTTTGGGGTACGATGACAATCAAGCAGTCCAGTCACAGAACCTGACCACCCGATCCCCAATGTTATCGGCTGTCATGAGGTGTCACATCGGCAGTCAGTAAGTGAGTATGGTTTTACGCCGCTTTTAGCAATATTCCAGCAATATCACGGCGGGGGACTATAGACAGACAGACTGACAGGTTTATATTTTATTTTCGTCTTACCGCTGTACATCATAAAAAACGTGCCACGATAAATTAGAGTTTATACATAAAAATAAATAATATAAAGTTATATGAGACGATACAAAACTAGATGACATATACAGAGAAAGATGTTTTACCCATGTTTTTTCAGTGAAATATACCTCATGTTTAAAAAGGACACAGAATGTCTCATTGCTTGACAGGTTTAAAAAGTTGGACACTTTAGCCGTTATACTCGTAAATTAGGTAGATCTTAGATCATCGTAAACTGGACATTGAGAAAAAAACATGTTTTATCTTCACTATGACCATTACAGAACTAATGTTATTGATGCAGACTTCCCCAGTGGGGATTCTGGGTTAGAATAATTATGTCTCCAGCAACCCAAGCTTGTGATAAAAGGAGACAAATGGGAATGGGTGGTCAGGCTCGCTGACTTGGTTGATGCATGTCATCGTATCCCAATTAGTACATTGATGCTCATGGTGTCATTCTCTGGTCTGTCCAGACCGGACTCGATTTTGTAGACCTCCATCATAAGTATACCTGGTATATTGCTGGAATATTGTTGTTAAACAACAGACAAACATGTAAGACATCCTGCTAGCCTCTACGTATGTCTTCATGTTCCCGTGCAGAGCGCACAGGTCACAAATCAGTTGAAGTTAAGCAACGTCGGTCGCGGAGATGGTTGGATGGGTAACCGCGTTTGGCAGCTTGGCCCCTGACAGTTTCTACAGGGTTTCGGTCCCACACTGAAGCACGTGTAACATGTGTGGCGTCTCCCTGGGCTAGTGACTTTGTTCGAAATGTGCCCCCGGTAGGATGAGATGGTTGTTAACCTTCTAGCGACTAACGGGCATCTTGGGTTGCCATGTATATGACTGTGACTACTCCCTACATTAAAAAGAAATATTTCCCCAAAGGCTTATTTATTGTATGACGCCTTATACATTGTGGTGGCACAACAGGGGATATATACAGTTTCCAGTACAGGTAAACCGTCAGATGACTATAAGAATAGTCATGTGTATTAAAACGATTACGTTGAAAGTTAACCTAATTGTTCATGAAGTAACAATTTCGGTACAGAACATTCAAGAAGGTTTTGAGGTTTTTTTTTATTAAATAAAACATAATATCTCAGCTGAAAATCCAGTATGAATTTCTAATATCGTAAACCAGGGAAATACGTGGTATCTATGCGGATGTGACTACGCCACAATGACGTACGTACCCTTATATGTATACGGACGAGTGGGTCCGTGTTATGTTAACCTTTGCACAATACAACGCCGGTAGTCTTCACACAATGGCAAGCTGGGACTGATTTCATTATGGAAACATATATAGCACGCACTGTTCCTTCATATGTGGGCTGTGCCTTGAGTTACCTTCCTGTTATACACTGTCGAGGATATCTGGGGCATCAGTGAAGGCAAGTTTACTGTTAATTGTCCTTTATGAAATTTAAAAAAAACTCTGATTAAAAAGGATTATAACGTATATGTTGTGTTCAAGAGCATACCAAACCTATTTTTGCTAGAACAAAGTTTAATGCGTCTCCTTGTTTTATAGGTATAATTTCCCATATAGAGCCATTGAAATGTACAGATTTGTCCGTTTGCAATGTACGTGTATGTGGAAATTAAGGACGTTATACAGATTGAATCACAACCTATACAAAACAAAATGCAAATAACCTAAATAATTTAATGTATTAATAAATATTTTGAGGACAGATACGAAGCTTATACGTATTGTAATGCACCTGTACTTGCATGTAGTTTGGGTTTAGAGATTATACATTTAAAACATGACTCAGTTAAACAATTTGTTATGGCATATATCCATTGAATACAGATCAATAGTGTAGTATGAGTGAATAGTGTGGAATTAACGGCGATTCGTCAAGATCAAAATAATAACCCACGGTGGTGTATAGGGATTTTGGACCGATGAGACTGCAACGTTCATTCCGCAACAATGACCGCTCCCGAAACCAGGAAGTGATCACGTCGAAAGGAGGTCAAGCGGACTTACAATGTTAATTTATATCAGTATGTATGCTGGTGTAGATATCTAAATAGGTCATTGACCAGGTAACTTCACTTATTTGGTCATTTAGCATAGGAGGAGTAATAATAGTTCCTGCTTTTCTAACAGGAATCAACCTGCGGATGAATTTTGTCAATATCGCATGTGACAACTTCATGCCTTCAGTGACAAGCAGTGTTTTCCTGCAGTAAAGTATTGCTGATGTTTTGGCATGCCTCATTGCAAATTGATACCGAAGAATGATATTAACGGTATCCATGATGTGGAGTCTTTGATTATGGAAGTTAATCAACAACACGTGTAAATATATGTCATGTATGAATGTTACATAATAATATGTATCGATGGTGTTCAGTGCCAATAGTGGTTTGCAGAATTTCTGTGTGGAACAATTTGATCTGTTATTATTGTTTTAGATTTATTCCAACATCATGTTAGCTTTCAGCTGTGCATACTCTATGCTTAACATGGTACAACAGACAGATCATGGCCTTATTATATATATTTATAAATGAGGAGAAACAGCTTAGAAGTGCCAGTGTGTATGTTGTTCATGTTGTTCATGTTGTAGGTGATGAAGGGCGCGTAGTTGTTCATATACAAGCCGGGGTTATGTTTCCCTATTACCAGTCTTTTTTGTATGTTTATGACCTACAGCCTATGAAAGTGTACACATCCTAAAGCTATTATTAACCTCAGAGTTGGTGTGTGACATTGACACAACCTATCATGCCACTCAAGCTGTTGTAATTTCAGTATTGGGTGTGGTTGTTTACCATGGGGTACATGTGTACAGTGTGCAGCTAACACTTGTTAAGGAGGTTGCACTTGTAGATAATCCCTTTCTTTGGCTGATAGGTAAGATATGTGTTTACAAACCAAAGACTTAGTGTGATTTACAAAGTGGTATAGTGTTTTATGTTATGATTATTACATTGTTGTGTAACCTTTCTAACTGTAGATTATTTGCTAATCTGTATGTTGCTTGGTTTAATAAGTTTTAAGGTGTTTATTTGGACGGTTGATTTTTTTTAATTCAACTGTAAGGTGTTGATTCACTTACGTGGATCTCTGACATTTTTGTCAAGCGTTATTATGAAAATTATATTGTAGGTTATTGTTTAAAACAAAGATGTTAAATTGCCAATGGATATTAATTGTTTCATGTGATCCACGTTGTATGTTTCCAGTACTCGTGCATATATCTTGATCCTTGGACATTTTTGAAACTATAGATATTTATCCAGAATATCATGCTTGAGAAATTATGTCATAATACTGTACAACTGACCAATAATTTTAAGAAAGGTCAGTTATGAAGTCACTAAAAATTGCATGGCATTGTTTTTGGTGGAATTCTATTTTTCCTGCTGAAACACGTTTAACATCATAAGTGAAGGTACTACTTTCCTTTTTGCAAATGGCAAGGGTTTCAATGTGAAAGCCGACATGAACTGCTGCAGCAAAGATGTGGTGTATGTTATGAGATGTTCGGGATGCAGCGAAAACTACATCGGTGAAACCGGCATGGAATTAAAAGATAGAGTTACTGTACACAAACAGCAGATAAGAGACCCCGATGTTCGATGCTTAGGTGTCAGCAAACGCATTGATGAATGCGGAAACAGGAAATTTACTATTTTTCCGTTTTATAAATTGTATACAAGTAACAAGCAGCTGAGACTGGAAAAAGAACAAATGTTTATCCAATTGATGAAACCAAAATTGAACTCTTGAATGTATTAATAGATTTGTCATTTCAATCGTAAATGTTACACTGTTACTTTACAAATACTGTATATTTTAATTCAGATGTCTCTCTACAATTGTTAAATTACTTGGTGTCGTCGCTGGAGTGTGTAAATACATTATGACGTCACAGTTGTAATTTATGACCACATCATAAGTATGACGTCATACTATATGTCATTGTCAGGTACACTGAAGAGCTGTCATGAGACAGCGAAAGTACTATGTCTGAAACTGATATAAAGAAGATGATGGACTAACGTGGACTTTATTACTTTATTATATATTACATGTACACTGAGTGAGCATTTACCTCATTTTTGTATATATATATATCAATCAATCAATCAATCAAGATCCTTAATCAATGTTCTCCCTTTTATTTCAGCAATGTTCTGTGTCCCATGTACATGATCAGCCTAAAGGGAGACAACAGATGAAATCTAATATGATAAATCATTGCTGACCACTAAAAACACATCATGGTTGACAGATCAACAAGGTGTATCAGTGAATTATTTGGCTTTCTCAAGGAAGTTGAGCATTGTGAAAATTGTGACCCAAATAGGTCTTCAGAATTCAGAGTGCAGAATGAAGATATTGTCTCCACATCAAAGTTCATTAAAAAGTCGGTTAGTGACACCAAGTTGCTTCAGTCTCAAGCACAGAGCCAGCCTCAGATTGTAAGGAAATGTATCTGTAATTTGAGGCAAGAGAATGCTTTGGCAGCAAAAGGTAACACTGTTTCTGAAAATTCTACAATAGAAAATGGAACCATGGATAACCATGAAACACAAACTGTCAGTATTAAAGGAGAGAAAAGTGTTTCCATTGATCCTGGTAAAAGTGATGTGGCAAAACCTGTAGTCAGTTCTCGTCAACAGGGGGAGGTAACTTCAACATCAGGGATGGAAGATGTCAATGTCGACAAACAGAAAACAGATGTTTCCGACTCTGGTAGTCATGGTAACACTGTAAATGGGATACATGAATTTTCCGAAGAAGAGGAAGTCTCTATGAGACCAAAGTTGGCGTCACAGGAACCAAGTCGAACAAATACACAAGTAGTGTCTGATGTGTTTAGTTTTCTCCGCACAGAGTCCGATACAGGTGATGAAGGCACTCGTGTACAAGATCACATTGAAAAATTGAGTGAAATGGTCAAGAAAGAGGATTTGATGAAAACTTCATCATGTTCATCAGCAGAAAATACTGATAGTGCATGTTGTGCAAGTGTTGAAGTGAACACATCAGACGTTGCAAGTGCAAATGATGCAGACAAGACAAATAGTGATGTTGCAAAGATTCATCTAGATGGAGAAAAAACAAATGTGAGTATTGATGGCGGGAAAGGAGTGACATGTGAAAATATTTCATCTTTTGAAGTTGATTGTCTGAAAGGGGCAGTACCCAATGGCAGCGAATCAGAAAATGTGACCAAAATTTTAAAAGATGAAACAGCTGTGAGAGAAAATGGTTGTGAACACTTAAGTGAGGTTGTCAAAGACGAGAATCGCAATACTTGTGAAGACACTGAGGGGAATGTATTTGATGATTCTAATGTTAGTGACACTGTAGCAAGAACTGACGCAGGGGCAAGTGCTGATGGTTCCAAGGATGTAGCTCGGTCTGACAAGATAGCTACAGGGGGTAATGAGGATGTTGTTTTACGAAGACGCCAGTCCAGTAAAAAGTCAGAAGGAGATTATCACTCGGATGATTCATCAGATGAAGATACAGGTAGGTTTACTGCTGTTTTACTCATGGGTAGTTTCAAAATAAAACATGAAAAACAAGAGGTCATAAGTCATCCCTAATGTTAAAAATTCTTATTGTCCCCCGCCGCGAATGCGCGAAGCGGGGGACATTGTTTTCACGACCGTCCGTACGTCCGTCCGTACGTCCCACCTGTTTGTTGCCACGATATCTCAAGAACTAAACACTGGATTGTCTTCATATTTGGAACTATGGTGTATATACAGACTCCGCAGACACCAGTCGGTTTTAGTGACCTTGACCCCATTTTCAAGGTCACAGCAGGCAAATCTGCTTTTGGAGTTGGAAAACGGTGTTGCCGCAATATCTCAAGAACTAATCGCTTGATTGTCTTCATATTTGGTACTATTGTGTATATACAGGCGGGGGACATTTCGTCACTTTGTGACAAATACTTGTTAAATATAAGATTTAGTCATCCTCCTAATTTCAAGGACTTATGGCATCGGGTGGTCAGGCTTGCTGATATGGTTGATTCATGTGATCGTATCCCAGTTGTGTGGATCGATGATCATGATGTCTATCACTGTCTGGTCCAGTGTGATATTTACAGACCGCCGTCATATAGCTGGAATATTGCTAAGTTCCCATTAAACAACAAACAAGCTGATATTGGAGAACTTGTTTTCAACAATTCTCACTGACAAATATCAGTTTGCGTCATGCCTATTTGGTTTGCATGCAAGGTGGGCTTAATCCAATATGGAGGCCAAACGAAGCAATTTTGCTACATTGGATGTGCAGAGAATTTGTTGGCCATCTGATTCCGCACCTGTTCAAGAATTTTGGAAGTCTTTGGAGCTTTCGTGGCGGAGATTTTAGCTGTTGAAATTGGGATTTTTAAAGTTGTTTTGAGTTATCTGCCCTTAGTCTTTGAGTGGGCATGGCACATTTGTCTTTATTATGGGTTGGGATCGGATTCACCCTGATAATCATGATTATGATTTGTTTGTTTGAGACATACCAGTGCCAGTTGGTTTCACCAAAGTGACAAACATCTAAGACCTGAGCCTCGTTCCACAAAGCGATCTTAGCGCTAAAGCGATCATATCTCTCATACTGTAACATAGAGTTATGATGATGGTAGCGCTAAGATCGCTTTGTGGAACGAGGCCCTGGATTACCTTGGACTTTCCTACCAACATGAAGATGTTATACTGTGTGATACCACTAGGGTGCAATATGTCCATTGTTTCGACGGGTTGTTATTCTGCGTATTGACCCCTCACGTGCAACATGCTGAGATTTGACAGTCCGATTCAGATGAGAGGGGAGCAAGCCTTGGTTCACGTTTTTTCATTGTCATGGGGGCCTGCTGGAAATGTCAAATTTGAAAGATTTGAAAAACTTTGAAATGTTCAAATGCCTGACAGTCACTTCCAAGTTTTGGACTTCTTGGGCACGCAAGAAACCTATGATTGTGGGTTTGAATCCCAGTTTGCCCCGATTATGTTTCTAGGTTTGTCAGCACCATACTCATGCTCGTGGGTTTCACTGAAGTGGTAAACGTCTGAGACCTGCATCACTTCACGCTTTCCTCCCAAATTAAGCTGACACGCCGTGATATAACCGGAATAATGTTAAAAGCGGCGTTAAACCCAACTCACTCACCTTACTCTAACATTACTCTAAAGCTTTTGTTCATTATCCGGATTCCTTTCAAAGGTACAAATATAGTCATTGCATCATGTCAGTACAGTAATGCATGACCAACTACAGCATGTTTACCCACAGTTCCTCTCACCAGCCATTCAGTATTCAGTAGGAAAATATCAGGCTGTTTACATAAGACAGAGGTTAGGAAGTGGTCTGAATCGTCCTGATCATGTCGACAGACAAGGAAGTGCAACACTGTCACTTATTTGTCAATTCTTTTGTGTTCCCCTGTATAATAAGACTGCTATTGTAGCACCTGGTATGTTTTCAAATATTCAATTTCGAATTGGATGACATAGGATCACCTGCGTCTGACATGCTCAGATGCCTGCTCAAACCTTTAAGAGATAAACGACTGGGGTTGTTAATCATACAAAACATCACTGCAGGAGACTGAACTACGAGGGGTGCAGAACCATGAGTTGTATGTTTTGTATATGAAATATTAACATTATTTACAACCCCTTTAACCAGGTTAAAATGTTTTTAAGGATATATACCTTTATCATATAATGGGTAGGTTTCTCGGCAGGATAAAGCCAACGGATAAAAACGATATCCGTTGGGGTCATATGCGGATAGAGATGCAAATATCAAAGGTAACTTTCACTGTTTATAAACAAACATGGCGTCGCCCTCCTCATTCGGCGATCGAGTCAGAATTAACTCGGGAATCTGGATAAACTACAGGGATAATTGCTATCATTATCAAAAGAACAGTCTAATATACTGAAAATCAGTGTCTAAATGTGAAGTAGCTAAGGCATTTTATAAGTTTTGGCAACTTTGGAGATATAAATTTCGAAACAATTTTATGAGGGCACGAGGCCTAGCCAAGTGGGATCAGTAGCCATATCTGTGCTTGTAGACCTCTGCGGCTTGAAACCTTCCCCACAAATTAAAATAGTTGGATTTGGCCGAAATATGTTTGAATTGTTACCTTGTTTCGTTTTGTCACTGTGTGTACATCTGACTACACTTCTTAACGTTATGACAAGACAGTCTGACTGTCAACAACGTCTGACTGTGGTCGTGACGTCTCATAGACTAGGGTTAGAGTAGCTTCCCTTTGACAAAGGGCAGTTACTCTAGCGGACAGACCGGTGGATTGCCGCGAAAGGCAATTAAAAACAATTGTTGTTTTGCGTATATGTTGCTTCGACACTGTATAGGAAACAGATTTCAGTTGGAACTATTTTGGCTACTGTCACTGTCCGACCGACACATCACTTACCCTGTGACGTAATAAATATTAATGCGCGCATTCCAGGAAAACTCGCAATGTTTCGGTAATGTTTTGAGAGAGGGAAAGCGATTTTGAAGCACAGAATTAAAGAATGACATTTTATGATAAAGAGGTTATCACGCTTGTGTGTTTGGGGATGGTAAATATCCTGTATTAGGAATAAACACTATGTATTTAGCTCGCCAAGGCTCGCTAAATACAATGTTTATTCCTTATGCAGGATATTTACCATCCCCAAACACACTCGCATGATAACCTCTATGTATTTACATAAAGATGACTCCCTGAATACAAGACAGCCTCAGTGGTCTAGTGGTAGAGCATCTGCCGGGAGAGCGGAAGGTCCGGGGTTCGATCCCTGGCCTCTTCATACCAAAAGATGTTAAAAGATGGTACTTGTTGTTACCCTGTCTGGCACTCGGCATTAAGGGGCTAAAACAAGGACTGGTCGGCTTGGAGTCAGTATACTGTGTCTGAGTGGGGTATTTATGTTAAACTGCGGCAAGGTATCTCAGTAAGCTAGCACTCCAAATCGGCATTAGTCCGGACTAGTACAAGCAGCCTAACAAACACATACACGTACATGCACGTCGCTATATAAGTGCAATAATCTTGGACGCGACGTTAAACCCCATTTCACCTCACCTCACCCTGTATATAATCCGATCTTGGCAGTGTCGGACAAGTCAATTATATGAACAGGGGGGGATTAAGTATTTCCTGAATATTCTCACCAACATAAAAATAATTGACAATGATTATCTTCACCTTTTCTCCAATATCTAAATTTCCGCATCTTGACCACTTTTGGATGCAATTGTTTGGCCTTTGTATTTAAACTAAATCGTCCAGTTTATGATGTCATCAACATTGATCAAGTTGCAAATCTCCCAAAATGATGTCATGATAGAACAATGTTTCATTGAGAAATAAAACCATGCCTTGTTCTTCATTTTTGCTGTGATTTATCCTGTAGCTTTCTTATTTAGGAAGGTATGTCTTTCTGTGTGTCATGGGTAAAATATACACTCACGATGGAGTTACTTGAAAATTGCCCATGAATCATGGTACATAATATTTCAGCTCTCTTCAGTCACACTCATGAACAAGGCAACGGGGAATGAGGGAAGAGAGTTAACTGACTTTAAAAGTCCAGTTTCCACCCTTGCCGAACTAGGTTGGTATTACGGAGTTACATTTTGGCTGGACTAACGAGTCTTTGCATAGTCCAATCAAAATATGGCACCGAAATTGAAATCCGGTTCGTAAACTGTCATGCAGATTTTGGTCGATTGCAGGATTTGCAAAGTATGTGCACTGCCAACTCATTGTCAGCAGATATTTTCCAAATCTTTTCATGTTTTTATTCAAGGTGCTCATGTGATTTGATGCATTTCGCGATGTAAGACCCGTTTATCACAATATAGATCTTGATTATCGATCAGATCGTCCTGACTGGGCGCCACCATTTTGCGTGAAGCAAACACAAGTGATACGAGAGGTGGAATCTGATTGGTCCATAGGCGAGGCTTAGAAGGGACATAACTGGTAATAGCCACTGGTGGCGCTACGATTGAGCCCAGTAATTCCAGCCTAGTTCGGCAAGGGTGGAAACTTGACTTTAAAAGTCAGTTAACTCTCTTGCCTCGGGAAGATGAATGGTCATGACTATTTATTTCCCAAGACCTCGCTCGTTTGTGTACCTTGCTGTCAATAAAAGTGACACAACACATTTGTCACAAGTTATGTAAAGATGCACAACATAGGCAGAAAAATATTTACAACATCTGATGCTTTTAGATTTCCGCCCCCTAACAACAATCATGTAATCAGACTATATCTTCTGATGTAGTCTCCGTGAAGATGCAGGTATGAATTGGTCTTCAGCTACCCATGCTTGTCGTAAGAAGCGACTTACAGGATCAGGTGGTCAGGCTCACTGACTTCATTGGTGCATCGTTTCCCAATTGCATATATTGATGCTCATGATGTCAATCACTGGATTGTGTGGTCAAGACTCGTTCTTTACAGATTGCCATTATATACCTGGAATATTGCTGAG